TGTTGACAGTGCTGAATAACATAAAAGGCATGAGAATTCACTTAGCTCAGGGAACCCTTGGAAGGATGCTGCAATTATACAGTGTTCTTACAGACATTTTGTGTTATTAAGGAATTCTAGAGACACATTTCCCCAGAAAAATGTAAATAACTGTAGTACTATTTATCTATTTATTGGCAGGGGGAGGTAGTTACAGGCCCTGGGGGATCAAGTCATAAGGGCACTTATACTGTCCCTGTTCCATGACACATGGACTGAGAATGATTTAGTAATTCTATATTATTTTGGGTTCACTCCCAGGCTGTCATGCCTTTCTTCCTCGAATGCCTATGAAAGTTTAAATCAACCTAATGCCACATGAATTAAATGATATTGTTCTGAGAAAAAAATATTAAAATTTTCTAGTATGTAAGAGGCTTATAATCAAATGTAAGAACAACTAAATTTATTAACTATATTCATCCAGAAAGATTGCCAGTAAATTCAGTGAAAAGCTAAAAACCTTCTTAAGTGAATTTGTTTTCGTTTCCAACCAGCTATATTGTATTCTGTAGAAAAGGATTACTATAACATGCTAAATACTACACAGTTCTTAATAACTTACCTGACAGTTCTCCCCGTAGACTCAACACCTAAAAATGATTTCAATGATGTGGAAGAATTATTTATTGAACTATCAACTTCAATGTTGCAAGCAGAGCTAAGAAGCAATGGGATATGAGACACGAAGAGAACATGGAAGTTGGTATAAAAGGTGTCTTGGCAACAAAATGTGTGGTTAGTACTTCAGAGCCTGGAGGACTTCCCTAAAACTTTTATCCAATGTTAGACTCCAGAGATGATAGAGCCCAAAGCTGCACTTTTCACCCGTGTAAGGAGATAGGGGTCAGAATTGGATTTGTAGACGTACAGAACATTTAGTGTTCGTTTTTGCACTTGCATATATGAATTATTGTTAAGGCAAGTTTAATTTTTCTTGTTATTCTGTCTATCCCGAGGTTGACTAAACTGAACATCCTATACTTTCATCCATACAATCTGCAAAGCCACTTTTAGGACTTAGAAGAACAATTCTATATTCACTGTTTAAACACAAGCCAGTCTTTACAAAATAGTCCCGTTCTGATCATTTCATAACAGAGTCATGTCAGAGTGACAGGGAACTCTAGTAAGAGATATTGAAAGTCAAGAAATTGGTCTGGAGGACAAGTGACTGAGGATGGCTCTTCTAGTTCTACTGTGAAGGAGGGGGCAGAAAACTCCTCCTGTTGAACAGAATACCCTTTCATCTGCCTCTCCGCAAAGGGTAATTGTGTGGAATTCTCACCTGCTAGGATGCAGAGTAATAGAAGTACATGATTCTTTCCTTCTTCTTCTCCTCCTTCTCCTCCTCCTCCTCCTCTTTTTCTTCTTTTTCTCCTTCTTCTTTTTACCAGAACATTACTTTTTATTTTATTTTTTACATTACATTTAATCACATATATCTTTACAGTGTATAACATTTCTTTTTCCAGCATGACTACCATACACATCCATCAAGACTATTACTATCCATTGCTATCCGCATCACCATCATCAAATGGCTTTTCATTTTTTCCAGATTATTATCTTTTGTATCCTCATTTATTTTTTTAAACAATCACTATCAGCTGACTCTCACTCTATCGTAGATCCAGTAAGTCATGAGGCCCTCTTTCTCCCTCCAGCCTTTGCTACTGAGGACACCAGTCTTTCTTGACTGCTCTTAAAATAGCCAATGCTCTAAAAACCATGTTTTTGTCATCTATAACCAACCCCATCCCCTCAGCCAATCCTGCATTTTTCTCAATGCACCCCAATCTAAGTTAGAAAGAAAAGATAAATAAACTAATCTACAGTATAGAAATTGCTTCCAAGGTATTTGGTAAACAAATAGCATCTCTTATTGATGATATTTCAGGGGTTGAGGATATTATTACTCTGTAGAGTGGGAGTGTGCAAGTGAGTTGTTGGTGTTGTAGGCCAAATATCCATGGTTTTGCCTTAGATCCCCTGTGCCCACCACATCCACAAGTTATGTTCTCCCATCACCTAGCCTGTCTACTCAGTCTGAAGAAAGCATCTGCAAGCTCTGGCTTTTGTTCCTCTTTCCATTTCTGGGAGAGCTTTCTTTAAACAGAACAGTCTGTGTGGCGCAGCTTTAAAAAAAGGAATTTTGGAAAAAGAAAGTCCTTTAGAAACATTTCAGGGTAAGATTAAGTGAGCAAATTGTTTTTGCAAAGTATAATACTTTTCAGTGATTTAAATCAGATGTTTGCAATTTATTTCCAATTACTATAGAACAAAATATAATTAAAATCAATGTGATAGATAAATGCTGTTTATTTGGTTGTAATACTACACTTCCTTTACATAATCATGTTTCCATTTGTTCACACTGAATGGCTTTCCAAACAAAATCTCCAAAATTTAAAACACAGACACAGATTGTGATACATAGTCCATCTGTGAATTGACTGTTTGGAACTCAGCAGACATCTTCCCACAAAACGGTGTTTAATAAGAGGGAAGCCCTAACCACTCTAATTTAACACACAGTGAGTGCTCAGGGCTTAAAGAGAGGATTAAAGAGCTGAGCCATGGTCTAGAAGGAAACATGAGAGATTTAAGAGAACAACGGGATTAAAATTTAGGAAAAATGGAGCACAATTCCAGATTTGGCTAGCAGATATGACTTCATATAATAAAAGCTCAGAGTGTGTAGGATAGGACAGAATTGGGGTCATATAGAGCATGCTGGTGTGGTAAGACTAAAATTTTGTATCAGGCAGGTAGTATGGTGGAGTGTGCTTGTGAACAGAGTAAATATTTGCAATTTTGTTTATGTAAACTAGAGGCCAGTATAGTATTAGCTTCTTGGATAAGGAGTCTGAACAAAGGATTGCTTAAAAGACAATCAGTATAATTTTAATTGTAGTAAAGTGTACACATAAACCCACTCCTTTTTGCCTAAAGAAGCGGATCTTTTGCTTTAGCTGCAGTGACATAAAATTACGTATCAGGGGGACCAGCAGTTAGCGTAATGGCTATGTCGCTGGACTCCCACATAGTCAACCATGGTTCGAGTCCCGGACACAGTGGCTTAAACTCACGCCGGGAGCGTGTGCGTGCGTGCCCAAGATCCTGAGAGGAGAATGGAGGACCATCCCCCCAGGGGGTAATTTTTCACTTTCTGTCTCTTTGTCTCTCTCTGTCTGTCTGGCAAGAGCACGTGCCCTATAGCAAAAACCTCTCCAGAAAAGAAGAAGAAGAAGAAGAAGAAGAAAATTACATATTAGGTAAGCCTTGGTTATTTACTTTGTTATTAAATATTCTTTGAAAAATAAAACAAAAACAAAAACAAACCTGTGAAATTAACAGGATCAGAATGAATACTGGGGTATCAGCCAGGACTGCTTTATAGCAAACAACACCTAAATGCAATGTGGAAGCTAGCTATTTACACCTGAGTACTGTGCTATTTCTCTAGATGATGAAGTGAATTTATTGACAATGCACAGAATCAGTCACTCAGATCTGCAGCTTTTCTGTAAAGGCTTATAGCAGTGCATACATCTTGTTGTCTAGTTTGTGCTGAAAGACAAGTTTGTCAGAAACCAACTCATGGACTAAGTTACACATTTCATAACTTAATAGAGAGTTCCCAAAAAGAGCATAACTTAAGTTGATTTAGTTTTTCAGGAATAATTAAATGAACTTTTATTATAGCAAAGGTGTATTTGAGCACTTCATAAATTACCTAAGTAATGGAATAATGCTTCACAATGATTTTGTAGTGTATTGAACTCTAAAAGAGGTCTAAGTTTAATGGCTTCCAGTTTTCTGTAACATGTTGAATCTTTTGAGGTATCAATTGCTTAATACTGATATAACTTTCAAGAGATCAGAATCACATTAAAATCCTAACTAACCTCACATGAATTTAACAGAATTGTTTCTTGTCTTTGAAAAGGAATCCTTTCTCATTGATTGCTTTCAATTTCCCTTATTATTGAGTTGTCAGAAAAGTCATGTTGCATTTTTGCAATAGATGGTGCTAGTTCATTTTTGAAAGTGCTAGAGTCATTTGCATCTGTGTTATTGCTATGTTATTTGACTGTGGCAGTCCTAGCTTCATTCTTTAAAAAAATTGGGTGCTTTGGTTGAATTATGGAGATTTTACCAGCAAGTTGAAGATGGAAAACCAAACTGCATTTTCACCGTATTTTACTATTTTATTCCTGTAAAGGGAAGAATGTGTGTCAAGCTTCTGAAAAGTTGTGTAGTTTAAGGTGATAATATTCTACAAGAACATCAGTGCCAACTGCGGTTCACAAAATTCCATGCTAGTGATTTTTATTTCAACGACCCTCTTAAGTCAGGGAGGCCTGCTGAGGTGGATGATGACAAAGTAAAGGCACTGTTCTAGTCAAACCCCTATTTATGACATGAGAGATTATAGAAACACTGAACATTCATTATTTAAGCATTCACAACCACCTAGAGAAGCTGGCTATGCAAGGAAGCTCAATATTTGAATTCCTCATGAACTCAAAGAAGTTAATTTTCCACAAATATAAACATCTGCAATATGCTTATTAAACGTGAGGAAAACAATTTTTTTGAAGCAACTGATAACTAGAGATGAGAAATGGATTGTGAACAACAATATGGTGCACAGTCTTCTCCTGACGTGATGACACTGAAAGCAGACATTCATCAGAGGAAGGTTATGTTCTCATTTTGGTGGGATTTTAAAGGTGTTGTGTTTTTGAGCTCCTACCAAGGAACCAAACAATCAATTCAAATGTGTGCTGTTGGCAATTGGGCAGTTTGAATGAATCCATCATTCAGAAATGTTCAGAGCTCATTGATCGTAAAGGAGTTGTGTTCCATCATAACCCGAGACAACACAAGTTTGATCACCCATCAAAAATTTTTGGAGCTTGGATGGAATTTGTTGCCATACCCACTGTACTCACCTGACCTTGCACCATCAGACTTCCACTTGTTTTGCTCTTTTCAAAACTCCTTGCATGGTATAGTGCTCAATTCAGATGAGGCTATAAATCAGCACCTTGTTCAGTTTTTCACCAATAGACAGGTCCTTCTATGAACAAGGAATTATGAAGCTCATTGAAAAATAGCAGACAGTTATTGAACAAAACAGGCACTATATCATTGATTTATCTTTTTTATGTAAATAAATGACCTTTGAAAAACATAAAACAAATATTTCATGACTTTTCTGACAACACAATAGACAAGAATATTTTATTTTTTATAGCCCAATAAATACTTATTTTTGTTTTTCTAATTGTTATGTGTCCCCCACACACAAAAATATATTAAAAGCGTAACCATAAGTACCTCAGAATGTGAAAATAATGTCATCTTTGAAGGTGTAGCCAAGTTAAGTTGATATTATTAGGATGAGACATAATCCAAAATGACTAGTGCCTTTGTAAAGAGGAAAATTTAGACACGTAGACATGCTCAGAGGGAAGACAATGTGAGGAGAAACTGGGAGAACGTCACGTCAATGGAGGATCGAAATGATGTATTTGTAGTCAGAGTGCCGAAGGCTGCCAGCAGACACTAGAAAGTACACAGAGACAAAAGATTCCCCTACAGGTTTCAGAGAGAGCAATCCTGCCAATGCTGTGATTTGGGGCTTCTAGCCTCCAGACATTAGATCTCTATTGTTTGAAACCACTCAGTGTGTGGTACTTTGTTACAATAGCCATAGGGAACTAAAACATGAGTCTGATTAAGATTTTGTTAACTAAAACAGATATCTCTGTATACCTTCTTGAGCAAAGGCATTACTCCCACAGATTTCTTCTGGAGAAGAATCCAAATGCAACATCCAGCTGTGAGCTGTCACCTCATCTCCCTCTGCCTTTCTGACATTTTCCTACAGAGCTGCATATAAACAATTAGCAGGAGTATTCACTGCAAAACTGGGATACCTAAGGCAAATCTAAGGACAGACATTTAATTCTCCAAAGGCCCTTGAGGAACATGTCGTTTAATGTACCAAAGAGATAATACAATAATTGAGAAGAGGAAATGTATTTAACCTCAAAGAAATGAGTTTATAGTTTCAAAAGTAAATAGTAGGGAGATGATCAAATGGTATTTTAACTATATCTTAAATGTTTTATTTTTTCCAGATAGATAATATGTTCATATTGTATTGTATAACTAAAAAGGGAATTATAAGAATGAGTGGGACCTTCAGCTTTGTCGGTAATTACAATTTTTCACATTTAGATGGAAATGAATTCAAGAGAACATTCTATTAACAGATTGATCTTATAAACTTACCTGTTAGTTGAGGAAGGGAGAAGGATGCATGATATTACCCCAGCACCTCTCATTATCTTTATTTATTTAAGTGAGTGTCAAATGATGAAAATTATCTTCTGGTCAATTTTGAGCTATTGAGTGTTTGTCTCCTTACTTGAGAGATCTATTCTCACTTCATATATTTTTGTAACAAACTTCATTCACTTTTTCCCCGTGCTGGGCCCGAAATAACATTTGAAAACGTGTAAATATTTAGAGTGAAAAAGACCTATTCTCTACGAAGCAGAACCAGGATATGTTTAGAAGATGGTTTCCCAGTATGTTTCCAAGGAGTTCTGCTGCCCACGCCCCTTACCATCCCACACATGGGGACCAGAGCTTTCTGTTGTATCTGATAAGAATGGTGGTCAGGCTCATATTGGGGGTGGTAAGACTATCTCACTTGTGATTGGCACATCACAGAAACTGAAGTGAGATGGAGCTTATAGAGAGAGGGCACTGATTCAGCTGTGGCAGTGCATGCTATTAAGATGCTACTGCTTGGAGGCTGAGCCCACATGGGCACCCAGATTCAGTTCCAGCCCAACCTGAAAGGCTGGATGTGCTAGCAAACTGATAGTCCTAGTTAGCTGGGTGGCAAAGGAAAGAGGATTTCAATGGTGAAATCCTATTAAAAAAATCAATCAAACTATCAAAAGTTAAAAAAAAAAAAAGGATGGCACTGGGCCAGCTTGTGGCATGGTAGTTAAGGTAGCTGGATCCCACATGACTGACTGTGTCCTTCAACTTCTGCACCTGGCTGCTTGAGAAACACTCTGGGCACATGTGCATACATGCCAAATCCCAAGAGGAGGCAGAAATGGCAAAAGAACTGGAGCATAGCTATTCCCCATGGGGGGTGCTTTCTCTTTTTCTCTCTCTCCAGTGAGTGCACATGGACTCTGGTAAAATTAAAAAAAAAAAAGGTAGCATTAATTAAAAAAAGTTTTAGAAGTTTTTGCCTTAGGGCACATATACTCCTCGGAAGAGAGACAGTCAGTGAGAGGCAAAGTGAGCCCTGACCAACTTATTTTTCCTAAGAGTATTCCTTAGCTGTAACCTCACTTCTCATCCTCTTCTGGTCATATTAAAATATTTGTTGTGCCTCAAACTTGGTATGCTATGCCTTTGCTCAGATTAACTTCTCTTCCTGATTATCGTTGAGTAGGATTAGTATCACCTTCTCCTTCTATCTGTTTTTTTTATTTATTTATTTTTTTTATCATGGACCCACTGAGGTAGAGATCAGATGGTGCCACCTCTTGAAATCCTGCCAGCTTTCACCCCTTCTCTTCCTCTCCCTCACCTGCGTGTTCTCACGGCTCCTTGAGCAGAGCCCTGTAAGGCCATTGATCACACCACATCTGGTACATTCTATACATTCTTTTCCTCCACTAAAATGTCACATTAGTACTTAAAGACTGAGTAGATAGTGCCTATCACCCGTTAGGTACTTAGTGCATGTCAATCAAAAGAATAACTTAAACAATTAACATTAAAACTTGACAGTATGATTATGACAGCATTGGTCCTTCACCTTGTCCTCATTCAGGTTTAAGTGGAATTGAGAATGTACTTTACACTTACAGAGTTGAGAACTTTTCATGATTTTCCATCAAAATCTTTACAGCATTCCAGAAGCTGCCCTCATATGTACACCATTATTCTGCAAAAGGTTAAAACAAAGTCGGGAACCAGCAGTTAGCGTAATGGCTATGTCTCTGGACTCCCATGTAGTCGACCGCGGTTCGTGTCCCGGACCCGGTGACTTAAAACTCACGCCGGGCGTGTGTGCGTGCGTGCCCAAGATCCCGAGAGGAGAATGGAGGAGAAGGGATTGCGGCGTGACCATCCCCCCTGGGGGGTGATTTCTCGCTTTCTGTCTCTATGTCTCTCTCTGTCTGTCTGGTGAGCGCACACGCCCTACAGTGAAAATCTCTCCAAAAAAAAAAAAAACAAAAACAAAGTCAAAAGAATTATAATTGACCTTCACTAAAGGATGGCCAAGTATGTATGTCCGGAATGATTTATCTTAGTCATTGTATTGCATCAGTTCTTTATATTATTTGCTTTTCAGTTACCTTGAGTAGGTATGTCCATGGTAACCAGCAGTGTGTACAAGGTCTAAGAAAATGCTACTGATTCTTTCCTTGAGTTTTAAAAAGCACACTTACTAAATGTTTAAATTACTAGATTTTCATCCTTTGAATGTCTCTTAAGAGAGAATTTCTTACGTAAATATTAGTTCTTAAAAAACAGCAAAAATTACATGGCAGAGACTTCTCATTTGTATTAGATAATTTCACATTTGTATTAGATAACCTGTAAACTGAAATCACTTAGTTTCAAGGTCTTATATGTTTAAAAATTCCTTCCTTTAATTTTTAATAGTTTTAGTCAAATTATCCCACTTAATTGAGCCATTTTGTTAAAGCAAAAGATAAAGGGGGCCTTAAGTAACAAAAAGGGGGTGGAGTTCTCTTCATAACCTGTTATCTGATCTTTTAAAACAGATTAACAAAGACGGCAAGAATGAAGGCAAGCATTACACACATATGTACACACACTGTGGAATCACAATTTATCACAACAGCGTCTGATTCAAAGTATAGTACATATATAATGCTAAAGAAAAAAATAAATTCAGTATTGCAGAATTAGCTGGTCATACCAAAACAATGAAAATTATGAGACTATTCATTATAAAGAAAGCATGGAAATTAAACATTCTGAAAAAAAAAAGCAAAAACATCTTAATGCTAATAAAGAAAATGTCCTAGGAAACAGTGTATCACAGGTAGAATTAGTTGAATGTATTCAACATCTGCTTGTACTAAATTTTCAGAAAAACTATTTTGGGGAAGGGAAGGTTAGTTTTGTGGGGTATACTTTGGGTCACTTGGAAAGGCCAGAAATGCTATGTAGAATTTTAAAGATTGCCAGATTTTAAAGACCTAACAGAATCTTCACCTACCTTATATTTGAAAAATATTAACATAGGTTCCTATTATTAATATAGAGAAGAACATACGGAATATTTATTTTGTCTTAGAAACTTTTTTCTTTAGAGATTTTTTTTTTTTTACTATAGGGCATGTGTGTTCACTGGAGAGAGAACAACAGAGACAGAAAGTGAGAAATCATGTCCCATGGGGGGGTAGCCACATCACAATCCCTTATACTCCATTCTCCTCTCAGGATTTGGGGCACCATGCACACACACCTAGCATGAGTTTTAAGCCACCGGCTCCAGGACTCAAATTGCAGCCAACTACATGGAAGTATAGCAACATAACCATTTATACCATCTGCTGATCCCAGAAACACATTTTTAAAATGACATCAAATAGAGATTTTTCTCATAGAAGGTAAGTTTTGTAGTATATAGGTCAGAGTTCTCTAAGGGGACAGACCAATAGGGTATACATAGACACTTTGTAAGAAGGGATTTATTGGGGGAATTAGCCTACAGTATAATGACTGTTGAGAAGACCTACAAAGGGCCATCTACAAGCTGGAAATCCTAGGATGTTTGTAGCTTGACTCAGTCCAGAGGTTTCAAAAAAGGGAAGTTGATGATGTGTAACTTTAAGCATGAAGCCAAAAGCTGAAAAACTCAGGGATGGGGTAGGGGCAGTGTTTGTGTCAGTCCTGGAGTCCAAGGGCAGGTGAGCCTTGAGTTCTGATATCCAAGGCAACAGAGCATATGCCCTTATCATAAGGGACTCATCATCTTTTGTATTTCTTCTGTCTGGACCTCTGGTAGATTGGATGGTGCTGCCCACGTTGAGGGTGGATCTTCCCTACCTAGTCTACTCAGACTTACATGTGAATCTCTGGAAACAACCCCACAGACTTCTAGAATAAATACGTATCAGATTGCTAGGTATTCCTTAATCTAGTCAAATTGACACCCCAAAGTAACTATCACAGCTGATGATGAAAAAACTTGACATAATATCTGTATCTTGGGATAATTTATTGTCTTTGAAAAACATGGCATCAGCACTTTGTTTTTCCCCAAGGAAGGATGCAATATAAAATGCCTTTCTTCCCTCCTTTCCTCTCTATTCTTTCCTTTTTCCATTCTTTTCATTTATTTATTTTTTAAATTGCCAGAGGACACACATGTTCAGCAATGGGGAACAGAAAGATAGACACGGAGAGGGAAAAAGAACTTCCAATGGGGTGTGGTCACATCATGAGCCCTTCTCCATTTCTCCAGCTTGTTAGCATCTGGGGACACACACACTCACACACACACACACACACACACACACACACACACGCCTGCTGTGTTTCTCAAGACATTGGGCCGGGTTTTGAATCACCGTCAGCCACGTAGATCATGGTTCCCTTTGCCACTAGGCTACAGAGCCATCCCTCTTTTTCCCTCCCTCCCTCCCTTCCTTCCTTCCTTCCTTCCTTCCTTCCTCCCTCCCTCCCTTTCTCTCTTTCTTTGCAAACCTTCATACAAAGACACAACACACAAACATTCTGATTCTCTTAATTTTTGGACCTGAGCTCTATTTTTGGAGGCATCCAGTTGAAGAGGGGGTTTCAGCTAATCTCTCCACTTGTCTTGAACCAGACAACCCTGTCAGCCTTCATGGAGGCTGGAGCCCTCACTGCCCCCCCCCCAAGTGTGGGAAATATTAATTTCCCCCTGGTGTAGTGAGAACAGTACTGCTGGGGCAGTACAGTAGAGACAGGTGGAGAATGCTATTTTTCCCAAATACACCAAATTACCACATAATAATCTGTAAATTGATTCTGAAAACAAAGAAAATCTGACAAAATAATTCACTGGTTTGATGTATGGAGATTATTTCTTTTAATAATATGAGCACAGTTTTGTGCTTAATGAAACAGGGGTGGAGTGGCAGGAGAGTGGCTGTATATGACTGCAAAAGTCAAGGTATTATCAATCTTTTTCTAGTTTCATTTATAATAAATACCTGTTCTTTATTATTGAGTTTAAGATAAATGCTATGTATTATTCAAAAATAATTATTTTTCATCTAACTTTTTTCTTTTTCTTTTTTCTTTTTTTTTCCTAGAGGGTGCAGGCATTAGCCAGAGACAGAAAAAGAGCAGGAGTAAGAAATCACCCTCCTGGATATGGATAGCCACACCATAATCCCTTCTCCTCTTGGGATTTTGGGCACACACACACACACACACACACACACACACACACACAGAGTTTCTCAAGCTGTTGGGTCTGGGACTCAATCTGTACAGTTGGCCATGTGGGACTCACCTGCCCCAGTAGCATACTACTGGCTAGCCCTTATCTGTCTTTCATATGGAGTACAAGTGACACTGAAGATTCTGAGCAGGGAAGAATGTGGAGGAAAGAAGTGATTCTATCATCTGAAAATATCTCCTTCAAAGTTGCATTTTGTCACAAATGAGATCTAAAGTTCCAGAGACACATGAGCTAGCACAGAGAGCTGATGTGGAAGCAGATCCCATCAGCCCCTTGGGCCCTGTGTTCATTGCTGAACATTCTGACGTGGAATGCAGAGTGCTCACGGTGTGCCAGAGTGGCCCTGGCAACAGGTCATGTGTTCAATATACGTTCCAGAAAATGTTCTCTACAGAAGTCCATGCAAAAGGCACACTGTAATTCTAACTAGACCTGCTGCCAATTTCCTGCAGACCTCTCTCTCTAATATCCATTGTGCCTTCTGTCAACTAGAAAAGGAGGCAAACTGAGGCAAAACATATCAAACAAAAGGGTTTTAGGAGGGGTAGGGTCAAGAACCATTGCTGGTGAATGGCCTGGATGAACATTTTTAGGTAGCCCCAAACATACTCACCAAAGCCTTACAACCATCAAATTTCAGGGCAACAGCCATGAGCAAGAGGAGAGAAGAGATTATAGCAGTTGTTTTGGGACAATTACCCTTGGCTATCTATAACAAGGATGATAGAAGTCCAAGTTTTGACTGGCAGTCTCTGGGCAGATGCTTGTACAGTAATCCTCGTGTCAGGTTGTAGTGGTCTTTGTGCAAGGCTGTGATTTTTACAGAGATCTTTAGACAACAGCTCTTGTTATCAAGCCTACTAGAGTGAGGGAGCATCTACTCCCTGGCCTTCCCAGTGTGGTCTAATCAGAGTTGACACAAATGACTCCATTTTGATCCTGAAAAAACTTTCACTTCCCTCTCTTTGTAAATCCTCTTGACCTGCTCCACATCCTCACTTCTGATCTTCTAGGTCTTTACCAGACAGAGTGGGAAAACCAAAAGAGAGCTTGGTTTAGCAGCTGAAGATGCAAATGTGGATTCTGGCTCCACTTCATCCTTCTTATGTGATCTTGGACAAGTAAACAGTTGAGGCTCTTAAGTGTTGTCAGTGGCATTAATTCATGTTTTATTGTTTAATCCTCACATCAATCCCAAAAGGCAGGCTTTTTTTAAGATTGGAGGGACACACATGTTCTGAGAAGCTCCACAATTTCACAAGCTAATTATCCAGGAAAAAACAGGTTCTTAAAGTATTAGGTCACTGGCAATGTCATGACATATTTTTCTATGCAAAAATGTATCATGACTTTCCTGACCACCCAATAGGTTTTTTTTTTTAAGACTTTGAAACACGCTGTTTCTAATATACCACAAAGCTTAACACTTTGTTAAGCTCTTCTCAGGTTTGAGCCTTAATTTTATCATGTACAGAATTGTGCTGGTGCTGCAATTTTTCATGTGATGGGAATGATTTCAATGTTAAATAGTAAACAACAGGGTATGAAAGTAGTGAGCATAAGTACTCAATAAAAGATAGTTTTCCTACTGAAGTTCGTCTACTGTTTTTTTCAATTGAGATTTCTTGTTTACATATAATCATACATCTTTGTGAGATACAGTATGGCTTTTCAAAGCATGTATACTGTGTCATAATCACAACAAAGATATAGGCATATTCATCTTCGATATTGTGCATTGCATTATACTGTGTGCCTTTGATAATGTTTTTTTTTTTCATTCTAAAGTTCTTTTTTCTTACTGTTCATTGTTTCTACAATTCATTTTAAATATCATGGCTAGATTAATCATCCATCTTTTTTTAGAGAGATTTTTACTACAGGGTTCACGTGCTTGCCAGAGAGATAGAGAGACAGAGAGACAGAAAGCGAGGTATCACCCAAGGGGGAATGGCCATGCTGTAATCACTTTTCCTCTCTTCTCCTCCCAGAATTTTGGGCATGCATGCACACAGCCCAGTATGAGATTTAAGCCACTGGGTCTGGGACTCGAACTATGGTTAATTATGTGGGAGTCCAGTGATGTAACCTTTACTCCATCTGCTGGTCCCAATCATCAATCTTTAAAAACTTTTTAAAAAAGTGTTTACTACTTATGCCTTGTAAGTGTTCACTGAAGACAGAGACATACACATACAGAGAGAGAGAGAGAGAGAGAGAGAGAGAGAGCAAGACACAGAGAGAATGTTAGAAAGTAATCTCCAAGAGTCGGGACCAGCAGTTAGCGTAATGGCTATGTCGCTGGACTCCCACGTAGTCGACCGCAGTTCGAGTCCCGGACCTGGTGGCTTAAACTCACGCCAGGCATGTGTGCATACGTGCCCAAGATCTCAAGAGGAGAATGGAGGAGTTGGGATTGTGGCATGGCCATCCCCCCTGGGGGGTGATTTCTTGCTTTCTGTCTCTCTGTCTGGGAGCGATGGTACCAAATATAAAAAAACCCTCTAAAAAAAAAAAAAAAAAAAAAAAAAAAAGAAAGAAAGTAATCTCCAAGAGTAATCTCCAGGCCACAGTCCCTTCTTCCCCATTCTCCTTTCATGATTTTGGACACTCACAACATGCATCTAGTGTTTTTCAAACTACCATGCCTGGGACTCAAACTATACAGTTGACTTTGTGGGATCCAGCTGCCTTAACCAACACGCCAGTAGACAAATGAATCATCTTTTTACAACAATTTTCTTATCAAAGATCTTCAGTGCATTCCCACTGACTAGAGGATAACGTTCAAGCACTTTTGTGCCCTTCTGATCTCCAACTACGGTAAAAATTATAGATCACTGTTGTCAAAGACAAAGGTTCTCCTTGTCTTCATTTACGCCACTACACTGCTTCTAGTGCCCTTCACCTGAATGTCTATGCCTATCTGGTGACTTCTTCAGTCTTCATGGAGTCTTCCAACATTTCTTCATGGAGTCGTTCAACATCACTAAAACTTCCCATGACCTCTCCCCATTCTGAATTTCCCTACTGTCTAGTGCTCCTTATGCCTCTTATATCTTCCAGTTTGTGTCTTCCTATAAGTGTCCTATATTCTCTACAATAGCTTACATTCTATTGGGCTGGTTCTACTCAAGATTTCTTTCTCTTTTTTTTTGTATTTTTTTCTTTTTTTAAAAGAGAGATTTTTGCTATAGGGTGCATGTGCTCACCAGAGAGACAGAGAGAAATAGAGAGACAGACAGAAAGAAATTGTCTCTCATGGGGAATGGCCACACCACAATCCCTTCTCTTCTATTTTCCTCTCAGGACTTTGGGCATACATGCACAGGCGCTCAGCATGGATTTTAAGTCACCAGGTCCAGGACTCGAACCATAGTCAACTATGTGGCAGTCCAGCAACATAACCATTATGCCATCTTCTCATTCCAGCTTGTCATATCATTTTAAAGATTGATTTATTATGAAGGAATAGATAACAATGACAACAAACTCAGCATTTTTTTTGGAATTTTTGCCCATTAGTACTTATCCCTAACATGATTAAAAATTAAAGCATAGTGAAATGTTTTTCCATGCTTTATAAACCACATTACATAGATGTAAATGACATGAATATATTATAAAATAAACCCTCATTGTGGTATGATGCAATGTACGGTGTGTAAGGAACATGCTTTCTCATTGGTTGCTGAGGTGCTGACTCTGCATTCTTTAGTTTCTTGCACCTCCACATGCACATATAGCCAAAATCCTTCTTTCTAATTTATAGTCAAAAAATAGTTTTAAAAAGTCTAAAACCTTATCCTGTGCCTTTGAGCAAACCTTAGAAGTAAAGTCAGTTTCAAGCCTGGGATATTTCCAAAAAAATTTTTTTGAATGTTCTCTTGCATAGCATTAAATCCATTAAAGATTTAATCAACCTGCAAACCACCTTAGCTGAACATTAAAGGAGGGAGATGAAAGAAATTCAGATAGTATGCTTTTCAATGTTCTCAGACATGTGCTGAGTGGCCTGAAAAAAATCTCTGGACGTTCTATAAAAGAAAAAATGATATCATTAAATTCAAGTCACCTTGAGATTAGAGCTGCAAAGTTTGTTAAGTTTTTCAAAGACTGTGCATGGAACTATTTTTGCATTTTAGCAAAGGCAAAAACAAACAAACAAAAACTCCCCTCAAATCATGGGGCAGTCATATATGGAATTACATGCCACCATTGATAGTGTTTCTTACTGTTGATGGGATGACACAGATAAGTGTGAGGAAGGCTGAGTTGAAAAGCAAGCAGGAACTTTCCATCTGAAGACAGGCAAGGACATGGTGACAACATCAGGCTAGTTGGGTGAATATTTAACAAACGTGGACTAACTGGTTCTCTGTTTTCGAGAGTACTAAGAACAAGGGGAGATTACTGCATTTTGAAAAGCCCTACAAATAAACAGAGGCTAGCAAAGTTCAGTCACTCATTTATTTACCAGTGGGACAGAGGAAAAACAGAGACCATTTAAAATAGGTTTATATGAATTCAGAGATGAAAATTTAAAACTGGTTGCTAAAAGAAGGATGTTTAGAACATAATTGGACTATATCTCTCAATACATTAATATTAGTGATTATGAAATAATACCAAGCACTATAGTTTGCTATATTACCTCAATTCATCCTGACAATAAATTTTGGAGATAAACATAATTATCTCCATTTCACATAGCAGAAAACTGTCACCGATTAGTTACTGACCCTCCCCAGGCCACATCTCTAGCAGTTAGCAGAGCCAGGATAAAACCTAGGCAGCCTGCTCTTGATCCCATGTATTACCCTTCAGACTGCACTTTCATGCACAATGCCAGAAGTGACCAGAGAGCCCGCAGGGCTGAACCTTAAGTCAAATCTCAAGTATCCGTAGACACCAAGCTTTCACTTGCTCTCTCTTACTTTATTAGTGATAAAGAGTGTGTGCATGGACATGAGAGAGAAAGAGAGACAAGCATTCTTGACAGAGTCTCATCAGGTGATGATCCTTCCCAACCCTGAGGTCCTCAGGACTCAATGTGCGCACCCAGCATGTTTCAGGTCCACCAGGGATCCAAACCTGCAGTCACATATAACTCCAGAAGTGTAGTCCAGTTTGCTACTGACAGCACCAACAAAGTGGGCCCACGATTTATTTTAAGAAGAGAAAAATGAAATCAAAATTTATTTGAAAATTGGTAACAAGGCCTGTTTTTCCCAATGCTTTCCAATTTTTTTTTTGTCATTACAATGG